ATATTCTACAAATCAACAAATAAATTCTGTGTGACGTCTTACCTTGCGCTTTGCTGATCCGCTTATGATCCTGCCCATATAGCCACTGGTCAGTGAGAAGTCCAGAGCCGTGTCACTACCCCCACGCACCACCACAGTATCATTCACATCCACCTCCACTTGCCTGGGTTTCTCTGCCCGTCTGATCAAGCGCAGGTCTATGAGCCTATTCAGCACGAACTTGATACTGCTGGGCGAGTCGAATAACTCTTCTAAAGTATTGGCTAGTTGGCCCATGGTCTGTCTGCCAGCCAACCACAACAGCTCAATGACTTTCAAGGCTGCAGCCTGATTGTCCTTTGAGCTCTCATCGTTATCGTTAGTGACCGGGAACAGCCTTCTAGTAACGGCTTTGTAGCGCGGATACCTCAGTCTGTACATCACTTGATGCAGCTCTATGGTGTACAGTGTCGTATCTGATCCCTTCTTGGTGTCATGCCTGTGTTGGACACTGACTATACCGAACTGCAGCATAACCAGCATGGCTTCCCTCAGACTGGTTGGTTTTATGGTTGTGTTGCAAGCAATCAATTCTCTCAGTGTTGAAGGGCCCCTACTCACCAGTGAGTCTGCCACCCGTGCAGCGATAGATCCAAACTGGTCGTGGATGATCCCCTTGGCCAGGTTCTGTTGACACTCCATGGCGGTGTCGTTGAAGGACTGAGTGATTGATGTGCGACTAGTGAGCTCGAAAGTATTTTGTAGTACAATCAGTCCAATAGTACTGCACTACTGATGTAGTAATCTAATGTCTCATATATATGGTCTATAACTGCTTCACCAACCTGGGGCATAGGAAGCATCGCATCTATGTAGTGTTCCCGTGTCTGACAACGCACACAAGTGTTACTGTCTCGTGCACCGATGTACCGTACAATATGCACTTTATAAATAACAGAGTATTAGATTATCCAGCTAGCAGCCGACTATAAATATCAGTGCTATAACACTATAAGTTCTGCGATAAAGATACGGCGTTGGCAGTACAACGTCGTATCAGCACTGATCATTTACTGACGTCGAGTACAATATTTAGATATTTTCTCCACATGCTGCAGTGATCGTTTTGGATTATTCATACCTCGGCAATTGTACAAGGGTTTCTAGGGTTTCTAGGGTTTCTAGGGTTTCTAGGGTTCCTTTGGCTTCTAGGGTTGTCGGAGGTATCTAGGGGTGTCGGAGGCTCTGCGCAGTTTTAGTATAAATAACTCATTTGTGTATCTATCTGTACACCTACATATGTAGCTACCATCCACGAATTCGGCAGCGGCTAGGAGACTGCCTTATGTAAACAAACTTAAAATATCGAACGCCCTTCAGGATGGAGTCAAGCGACACCGCTGTACCCATACTATTCGCCTTCAATTGAAACTCGAGACAGAAGCCAAAGTGGTATTTACTCGGTACTTGTCTTGGTTAGCGAAGGTACCATTTTAAGTCAGTAGCACAGGTCCACAGGAAGACACAAAGTATATGAAAAGCGGTTTCTTTTTCAAAAATGTTACAAGGTACATCTTATATATGCAAATGAATAAAAATTCGAGCATGTATGCGCTCTATTATGTAGT